CTGCAAACATGATGTTGTAACTAAAACCTGCAAACATGATGTTGTAATTAAAACCTGCAAACATGATGTTGTAACTAAAACCTGCAAACATGATGTTGTGACTAAAACCTGCAAACATGATGTTGTAACTAAAACCTGCAAACATGATGTTGTGGCTAATACCTACAAACATTATATTGTGACTAAAACCTACAAACATGATGTTATAATTTAATCCTTCACATTTGTAAAGGTAAGAAATATTGAAACTTAAGTAACCAAAGTTTAGTATTTTGGCACTTGTATTTATGATTTTTAAGTAACCAAAGTTTAAGTTTAAAAATATACTATTATTATTATACATAATCAACAGGTTTCTCATTCTTGTAACAGGAAGTTTAGTTTTATTATGAGAGGAACGAATACCCAGTCTTGATAAACTAAAATTCTGACGATCAGTGAATGTTCTTCGTAAGGTTTATTCTGGTATGTTCCATTGCTTTCTGTGTCTGGTTTTTATCGTAATGCAAAATGTGAAGTAATTTGAACATTAATATTCGAACGAAAACTCTCAGCTGAAAGACTTTACATGTTCAAATGTGTATAAATGTTTTACGTGTAGTCAACTTTAGAAATGTTACTGATATGTATAATTCTTTGTATCACCACGTGCTGTATAATGATAATTATCTCTAGTAGTTTTGGTATTAAACTCTTTTTAAAAAATTTGCAAAATTTCGATGGCGTGTAAGTGACGTTGCTTGTGAAATATTTACATTTATTTAGGTATATATATATATATTATTTTTGTGTATAATTAGAATCTTTCATTAATGTAGACAAGAGTAATTCTGCATGTTGCTTAGTTTAATTTTTTAACTTTTTTTTCCTACGTATTTTGCTGGAACGAATTAATTCTGTGCTTAACTGAAGAAAATAAAATGTATACTGGCTATTTATACTTATTTACTTCATAGAGAAAGTTTCATGTGTACTGTGATATGAGGTAAAAACATACATTTGTATATAATATTTACTTGTAGGTGGCACCACTGAAGTGCATGATCTCATTTCTGCAAGCTCAATTTGTATTTGTAGGCTTGGTATATATACATATATATATATATCTGTTTGTAACATAAATATTAAATGTATATATTATTTTGTACGTTATCCGTCAAGTGATCATGTTTTATATCGAATTTTCGCTGTGTTTTACACCCAGGTGTCAGTAAAAACGAATAAAGTCTCATGCTGTATCAGAAAAGGGAGCTTGGATTCGTTTATTTAAGACATTTTGATTCCCTTGAGGCAGCTTGAGGTGATGAACAGCTATGGAGGTAAAAGTCGTCTTACAACCCTGCCCCCTCCCTCCCAGATAGTGTGTGATATGGTATTTTAAGTAAGCTTTCTTTTCATAACACATTACTTTTTTTATGCAATTCAGGGCTATTAAAACACGAACTTTAAACCTTATAATATATTCATTACGATTTAACAGACCATCAAAAATTTGCAGAATGATCCAGAAAATGTGACAAAAAATGTGCCCGATATAAGAGAAACCTCTGTAACTTGAATTGGGTAAGTGACGCCATTGTACATATCCATGGAAACTGATAAATCAATAAATTAAATGACTCTAAAACAAATATATTTACGTATTTCTGGTCAAAAAAAACGCTAATTAAAATTAATCTGTTGGTTCCATTCTCGTGACTGATCTTTGTTGTGGCGTCAGTTTAAAAAACTCGCAAACCTAAAGCCTAGAGGAATGATTCTTTGGTTATACAAAGTACGTGCATTAAATCCAGGAATCTGGAACCTGGTTGATGTCAGCAAGGATAGCTTATCCATCATCTTTTACGTCAAGGGAAAACGTTCACTTTGCAACTGCAGCAATACTGACGTCACTTCTGCACGTTAGCTCGCACTTAACAAACACTTGATATATAAGTCATAGTTAAGTTAGTTTCAGACATGTTTTCGTTTTGTTTTTTTGTTGTTGTTGTTTTTTACTACAATCCACTAGATACCTAAAGAAAAGATAAACATGTCATCAGAATTGAAACAAATAAAACATTTGAAACAAGTAACAAATTCAAATATTAGATATAACTCAACATATTCTACATTTGGTTATAAATCTTTGCAGCACCAGCGACAAACCAATCACATAGTTAATTGTTGATATAACTTGACATATTCTAGACTTGGTTGTAAATCTTTGTAGCACCAGGGACAAACCTATCACATAGTTAATTTTTGATATAACTTGACATATTCTAGACTTGGTTCTAAATCTTTCTAGCACCAGGGACAAACCAATCAGACAGTTAATTGTTGATATAACTTGACATATTCTAAACTTGGTTCTAAATCTTTGTAGCACCAGGGACAAACCAATCAGACAGTTAATTGTTGATATAACTTGACATATTCTAGACTTGGTTGTAAATCTTTGTAGCACCAGGGACAAACCAATCACATAGTTAATTGTTGATATAACTTGACATATTCTAGACTTGGTTGTAAATCTTTCTAGCACCAGGGACAAGCCAATCAGACAGTTAATTGTTAAAATTGATGTTTTTAAATGTTTCTGTTTACCATACATAGATTACTAGCTGACCCCTTCAACGCACAGGAAAAGACATAAAGATCTTACGGAGCACAGGGGGATGACATCAGATCGCCGCTACCCCAAATCACTCCCCGAGTGACCCTAAGAGTATATGCAAAGTTTGGTGAGACTTGGTCAATATTCTCGTTCATCATCAATAGCACAGGCCTGCGATGGTTTTATTGTCTTGAATTGTTTTTTACATGCTCCATCACGTACAGAATTTTCACAAAACGTCATAAAACAATCCATAAAAGAACGACCACAACACGTAGTTTGAAACTAAAAGACGTAGATTTCACAAAATAAAATCAGGATGAATGAGGATGCATATTCGGTTGTTAACAAACATAATAATAATAAAAAAAAGTTAGCTGTGATAAACGAAATAATAATTTGATCGAAATAAGAGTTGTTTTTTCTTAACGATTTGTAAAAAAATCCTTACGTGATAGAAAAAAAATTAATATTATTTTAGAAATCTGCGTAGCTGA